CGCAGGAACAACCTGGTATCTTCCAGGCAAAAAACAATTAAGAGAGTTGCAAAGCCAACCCAGCTAGAAAATCATAGGAAACCTAAAATTGGGGCTTCTGGTTGAAGTTTTGAACAGTTAAGAAATAACCCAAAGTAGCTATGAGTAAAAGCAAGGTCAAGGTGCTATTTGGGTACATTTTCTATGGAGGTATTCTTAAAACTGCTTCGTAAAACAACGCAGTTGGTTCTACAAACACATCAGGGTTGCTCTCAAGTCCAGGGTTAATTTGAGAACAACTCAACCAAAGATAAACTTTCAAGAAGTCACCATCTAAACCTACTTTCTGTACTAAAGAACAAAAATTTTGTTTTAAAAAGCAGTTTTTTTAACCAATACCAGACAATATCTAGTGGTTGAACTATAAAATTCCAACAAATAAGCTGAATATTAGCATTAACTAACAAATTTCAACAAATAAGATTCTAATGCTAAAGTAAATATGCTTAATTCTGCTGCTAATTTATGCATGGCCCATGACAGCAATAAAGTATCTCTCAGAAGGAATTCAATATGAAAAACTGAAGGAAACAGAATATTAATCATTAATAATATGATGAATGTAATCAGTTGATCTGGATACACAATTTGGTTATGTATATTAGTGAGTGATAAACTGGAAAGGAGAAAAAAGATCTATAAAATTGACCCTGCACAATACTCACAGTAAGGAAAAAAAGAAAGGAAGATAGAAAGATTTACAACGTGTGGCTGCTGAGGTTGCAGTTTATCTGTGTCCAGCACTGATGGACGCTCTCAGGTGGTGCATAGTTCATTCAGCTTTCTTGCTTCAAGAACGCCACAACAAGGCATCTGTTAAGTTCATGAATTCTGAATTCTGTGGAATTTGGAATCATAACATGAAAGGGGAGGAGTTTTTTTCCTCGGTAAACATCCCATTACTAGCTTTTTTTGTTTTTCAGCCTTTGCCAAGAGCTTCCTCAAGATACACCTGAGACTGGATTACCGTTCGCCCAATTTTAAAACCAGGAACGACCGTAAACCCGACTTTCGCCCTGGATTTAAAAGGTGGAATGTATCTTCTTGTAACATCTTCCATGTATACCATTGAGAACTCTGCACCCTTTTCAACTTGAAATACTTCCACAACGGGGTCGAAAGAGAAGGCCAGCTTATGCAACATCCACACTGAGCTAGCCATTTTAATAAACGACTTATAGAACACGCTGACCGACCGCCACGACTTTAGAATGTCTTCTTTCCTATCCAAATTACTGAAAATAGATGACTCCATAGTAGGATGGATAAGTTCTTGATATTTTCTCTCACAAAATTTTGAAAACGCACATTGAGGATTTACACTTAGAAGTTCCATTGGATTGCTTGAAACATGCTCGAGTAATTGCTTAAGGGAAATGCTATTTCTGTCTAAATTCTGAGATTGTTCATTACAGAAACTCTCAGTCTCACCCACACCAAAAATTTCTGAATCAAAACTTCGAAACATCCCTAAACAAACATATGATAAGAATGCATACCGATTATGCGCTTTCTTCGCATATCCAATCTCTCGGTGAACTGAATTGGCAGCTAAATCCATATCCCACGATGCTTTTTTCATCAATTCCATCAAAACTTTGGTAAAATTATACGTTGCTCTACAAGCATCGTGTAATATAGAATCGAATACTCTAACAGACATTAAAACATCAGAAGGCGCATTCAAATTAACAGATAACTTCTTCGATAACCTCGAATTAGACTTCTGCAATTCTCCCAGCTTTTTTCTGAGGGCTAATACCTCAGAATCCTTCCGATCAATCTCGGACTGAGCCCGGTCCGAGACGGTGCCAAGCGTTCTAAGCTTACTTTGATTCTCTTGCACCTGCGCCTCCAAACAAGAACCAACCGGAATCGAAGTACTTTCATCAGGATTTCTACGATAATCTTTATAAAAACGTTTGAAATCAGAGAGCTGCTGCAGGTGCGAGACCAGTACCCTATCAGCGGCCGTCACTTTCTCTTCAACAAACGGAACATGAGCAGTCTGCAATTGGATATACGAAGCTTCAAACGAAGAAATCGTAGCGAAAATGGACGAAACCAAAGTCTGAATCATCTCCGTATTATCAATTCCATTTCGCCTCTTTTCCGTTCCTCCTCCCTCAACTTCACTCTCCGCCTGATTCAAAGTCCTCAAATAATCCGGAACCGGGTCCAATTTCTTCAGATTGGGAGGCGCCAGAGGCTTAATAACCGCAGACGGCAAAGAGGGAAACAAATCGAAGGCGGAATCGGGTTTAATGACGACGACTTTCTGGTCAGTAATAACCTCCTCAGCAGAGTCCAAGAGCGAAAAGCCATCAGGTTCATCAGCAGCGTCGTCATCGGCAAAGAATTCGAAGGTTTTCGTCTTGAAAGCGAGGGCGAATTTCTGAAACATCTCAGAGATCTGAGGGGACTTGTAGTTGGAGGAACCGTCCATGTCGGGCATAACTGGAAACTGGAGATCAGGCAAGAAGTGGAAGGAATTTCAGTGAGTTGAATGAAGAAGAAAAGAGGGAATTGAGAAGAATTTGAGAAATGGAGAATGGTATGCGTTGAATAACTTTGAAGCAAGGTATGAGTGCGGAGGGTTTATCGAGAGAGAGAGAGAGAGAGAGAGAGAGAGAGTGGGGCTTAATTTCCACTCACTTCTGTTCTTCCCTTTTTCTTTTTCTTTTATTTTATTTGCAACGGTAATGAGATGGAGCTAACATTACAGCTATATATATATATATTAATATTATTATTTTTAAATATTTAATTACAAGACGGTGTTGGTTCACATTTATTACAGAGGCCAAATGGTTTGGGATACAAATACAAAACCAAATATAAAAGACTCAAATACAAAGACGGGCTGGATCTCCAAAATGACCCACTCTTTAACAACATAGCTCTCGAACACTCTTGCACCTTGACCAGTAGCCTGCAAATACAAGAAATAGACAGATGCTTATGATTGTTACCACGTGTGATTGTGACACCTTTTCTAGTTCAAGGTGCTCGTGATTGTTACAACGTATGATTGTGGCACCTTTCTTGATAACATCTACTTATGTAGTCTCTCGTTTCATCCAAGGCGGGTTTGTTTTATACACGCCAAAGATCTCCTAAATAGGGTTGTGTTGTAAACCCTTCCTAAGAGAAGGAGCGGGACCAACAGGTTGACATAGTAGTTGGTCAACATGTTTACTCCCTCAAGCTTAGTGTGACTTTATGGTCCTATGGAACATTCGGCTAGGTAACCTTCTACAAATGATGTTCACATTAGCCTATGTCATACTATTTAATCAGATTTTATTAACTAGAATACCAGTTATTCGCTACAAGACAAAGTAAGTACCTAAGTCAAAGAATAGAAAAGTTGAACAATCTGTCCAAACCCCAAGGTGTAAGTATAAAACAAAAGAACAACTGGAAACTTCAAGGCCACTCCGGATGCTCAAATAGCTATAGAGTTTAAGCTTGAACTTCCTATTACCTAGAGAAAATCTCATGGAACTTAATAAGATAAGGATGCGATAATAGCCTATAAGTAGATTGCTCACCGAGTGTTTTATAATCACCTCATTTTACATTTCTTTTCAGGAAATTATTGACCACAGGTCGTGAGGGGTATCTAGTGATGTCAATTTTGTGAATTATGGGGTCTTATATTTGTTTACGCTTGAACTTTGGACAACCTCAATTTGAAATTGATTTCGTTTTTTCTTTTTTCTTTTTTTTACTTTTATTTGTGGCCTTGTTTATTTTTAAATTTTGAAGTTTTTCTTTATTGTATTTTAATATTTGTTTTATCTTACTTTTATCTTTTTCATCTTGGTCCAAAATTCGAAGCCTAAAAAATTAGTTCGTGACAATATTTTGTCACATATAAGAGTGAATATAAAGTCAACTTGAATATAAATCAATTGGTATAAACATAAGATACTTAATAAATTTGAAATTTCATCGTTACATTTTAGATTTTGTTTAGCATTTACAAAAGTACACATAAAAACTAATTGTACTATCATGTCAATATAAATAATATACTTTTTCACGGTCCTAAATATCAAAAATTTAAAATAAACCATTTCCCTTTTCGATACATGTTTATTTTTTTAAAATTATTTTTTTTCCTCGAGACTCAACAAATGATTGTTTTATTTGTTATTGAGAAGGAAAATGATAGCTTACCTAATCTTCTCTCTAATGTGAATAAAGGGTCAGAATAAGACAGTGATTTGTTTTTGGGAAGTTTCCACTATATATATGATTGAGTGAGAAATGTTTTGTAGGGAAAAAGTTTGGTTGGTTTGAGGCAGGGCAGGTTGATGATGACCAACCATTATATGGGATGGCCTAAGAGGCAGCTTTAAAGTGGAAGTTGCATTCTTTTATGCAGACAAGTGCAAGTAAGACCCTCTCCAACCTTATTTCCCTTTCCCACCTCCAAACAAACTGACTGCCCACACTAATAGAAAAAGGGCAAAAAAACAAAGAATCATTGCCAATTATGCATTACACCCACCAAACATTGGCCTTGTTCCATGCAACACTCACAAAATGTGGCCTTCCATTTTACAACTAGTATCCGCGAGTCTCATAAGACCCCGAATCCAAATGGACATTTCAAATAAAACCTGTAAATGCAGGTTTATAAATATTTAGAGTTTAAATTGATACAATTATTAGCGTAGACTTTAAGTAGATAGGCACCAACATTTTCACTCCTTTTAATAAAATTATAAATGAAGGGCCCAAAATTGCTGAATTGGGTCCACTGTACACCTAAATCTCAACTAAAGTTTCATCTTTACGACGGTTGGTTAGGGATGTTGAGGCATTGTACCGCCTACTCCACGCACTTACAATTACTAATTCAATGAAGTACAAAAGAGATTTTGAAAACTACTTTAAAACTTGCTAATATTCAACTACGTACCTTCCCCTAAATAAACAATGGCAGATAGTATGACTAAATCACTCACTCTTAATTTCAACTCAAGATCATATCAATGAAGTTAATATTACACCCCTTACCAACCCACCAAGAATCTACAGTATACATAATTTACTCTATTACTGTTATGATACGATCCTTCTTTTAAAGAGAAAGAAAAGGTTATGAAACTTACCACATATTTAGAGGTCAACCAGAATGAAACCTTTTTCTTCCTTCTCGTCAAGAAGCAATCCTTTCACTCTGTGATGCAAATGCCTTTCACATGGAAAGAAAGACCATCCAATTCATTCATGCAATCCTAGCGTCACATATGCACAAAGAGTGAAGGCTGTAACTTTTGTCACACTATTCAGATTCCAAGTCTTCAATCACGTTGCTCTATTTGCCACCTTCAATCTTTCTTTTCTTAATTTCACTAGAAAATCTAACATTTGGTCGTTGGGGGCACTGTCAAAGACAATGAACTTTCAATGACTAAGCAAACTTAATCTTCAAAGGCTTGACATTGAAGAGAACATATAGTTTTAAATGGAAGAAATAAATATTGCTAATATATGGAGTGTACCATGATTCTGCTTTGAATGTCAAGTTTGCAGTTCATTTGTAGAAGGCGGTCTTTTGCAACTAACTCTGCTTCAGATGCTTTCCTACAAGCTTCTTTCACCTGGCAATGCATGAAATAGAGCTCTGATATTTCATGGTCAAGGTTATTACACGAGTATGCAAGCAAGCTTGAAAGAGTGACATAAAAGTCTGGCTGAGTAGGACTATAGAAGTTCTTTCATAAGAAAAAAATAAAAATAGAAAACTTTGCAGCCTCCAGTGTTGGATTTATCCCACGATCAAAATATGTCGAAACAAGTAAAAAAAGCAAAAAAAAAAACTGGAGAGGAGAGATCTTGTGATCGGGAGACAAATCCAACATTTGGTATCAATTCTCTCTATTGTTGTGATTGTGAAAAGAATATACATCATAAGTATTTATAATGGAGAAAGCATTGACTAACTTCCTAAACTTTCTCCTTGAGTTAAGAACCACAAACAATTTTCCTAATTAAAGCATAAAACTTAGTACACAAGCACAAAACTTGATCTACACTTTGGCAACTACTATCAATTCTCCTACGGTGGCTCCATAAGTTAGTAACTTATTCTATTAATCTACACTTTGGCAACTACTATCAATTCTCCTACGGTGGCTCCATAAGTTAGTAACTTATTCTATTAATCTACACTTTGGCAACTACTATCAATTCTCCTACGGTGGCTCCATAAGTTAGTAACTTATTCTATTAATCTACACTTTGGCAACTACTATCAATTCTCCTACGGTGGCTCCATAAGTTAGTAACTTATTCTATTAATCTACACTTTGGCAACTACTATCAATTCTCCTACGGTGGCTCCATAAGTTAGTAACTTATTCTATTAATCTACACTTTGGCAACTACTATCAATTCTCCTACGGTGGCTCCATAAGTTAGTAACTTATTCTATTAATCTACACTTTGGCAACTACTATCAATTCTCCTACGGTGGCTCCATAAGTTAGTAACTTATTCTATTAATCTACACTTTGGCAACTACTATCAATTCTCCTACGGTGGCTCCATAAGTTAGTAACTTATTCTATTAATCTACACTTTGGCAACTACTATCAATTCTCCTACGGTGGCTCCATAAGTTAGTAACTTATTCTATTAATCTACACTTTGGCAACTACTATCAATTCTCCTACGGTGGCTCCATAAGTTAGTAACTTATTCTATTAATCTACACTTTGGCAACTACTATCAATTCTCCTACGGTGGCTCCATAAGTTAGTAACTTATTCTATTAATCTACACTTTGGCAACTACTATCAATTCTCCTACGGTGGCTCCATAAGTTAGTAACTTATTCTATTAATCTACACTTTGGCAACTACTATCAATTCTCCTACGGTGGCTCCATAAGTTAGTAACTTATTCTATTAATCTACACTTTGGCAACTACTATCAATTCTCCTACGGTGGCTCCATAAGTTAGTAACTTATTCTATTAATCTACACTTTGGCAACTACTATCAATTCTCCTACGGTGGCTCCAATAGTTAGTCTATTAAGTTTGGTAACAATTCTCCTAAGTGAGTAACTTATTCAAGTTTGTGAGCTCACATCAGCGTTGCCATAATAAATATCAAAATTAGAAATTAACTAAAGTAATTACTCCTTACCTGTTATTAGAATCAATTACTCTCTTAAGACGATATTTACAGGTGTAACGTGTATACTATTGCAGCGGTGCATTATTGCTCATATGAAATACTGAAGTTTTTAAATAAAATGAGTGCCAATCAATTAAAATGTAAGACAAAAATACAGCAATAGCTCATAGCAAGGAAAATTTCAAAGCAAAAGCGTAGGAAAGCACAATGACTAATTTAAGCACTTACCTTATTTGAATAATATCCAGCATCACCGTATGCACCATCAGAACATTTTTCCAGCACATCACGGATAAACGACAATTCTTTCATCAAGTCTGAAGCAACTACTTCAGCATCTTGCAGCTGATTTCTAGAAAATTCAAATGCTCTTTCAGCATGGAGACGAAAAGAGGAACAGTTCAAACAATTGCAGATTCCTCTGCATCCTCGTGGGTTTTGCTTAGGAATTCCCTTTCCAACATTAATGCGAATTACTGGAACACATCCTTCTACGCATAAAGAATTAGGTTCTAAGCTGTTTCTCTCAGAAAGTTTAGCGGCATCAGAAACATTATCTGTCAAATTTGTGCAGACTTCTGAAGTGATTGGTGATTGTTGAGAGACCATTCTAGATCCTTTTCCAGTTAGCGGATCATAACTAGATAAGACTGCTTGATCATGCAATTGAGGGTCCACTTTCAACATACATGTATCCAACATCTCCTGTTCAGAATGCAAGTGATGCATCTGTAATTTTGGTGATGATAGAAGTTCATCATTGAGTCCATTATGCAATAGAACTTTTTCTGTTTCACAAACCATTTCGTTCATAGTATTCGACCCAGGCATTGAGGGAGTATCTAAACTTCCATCGCATGGCATGTTGCAAGATGCTAAGCCTTCTGATCTATCCCAGGAATTGTGAGAATTTGAACTCGGTGATTGCAAATTCATAGTTGGCAATTCTTTCTCCGGTCTTGGAGAGTCAATGTTTCCCGAAGCACCTGAGAATGTAAAATATTGTTAAAAAAATCAGTCTTTAACAGAATCAACAAGCACAACTATATCGAATGAAGATTATCGTGGGGGAGTGGATGCATACAGTTCTCTGGGTTATCTTTAAAAAGATCCGTAAGGAACGGAAGCATCCTACGAAAGCTAACTGAAACTTGGCTGTATTTCGACTTCAGTTGTACAAGTGGATTGCGAACCTGATAAGTAGTTAATTATATTAGTAGTAATACACACACACACAATAATAATAATAATAATGAAACAACAACAATAATAGTTTGATGATCAAGTTGGATGTCATTCCCTAAGGCTGCAGAACAATCATTTCCAAATTATGGCACCCACCAAAAGCAATCATGCAGAATGTTTAAAGGAGGTAGCAGAAAAAGATATAAGTAAAACCATTTCATGAATCTCACCACTTTGTTTCTAACACAGGGGCCATATTTCTTGTCACTCTCTGTAGCAAAGTTGAAATCATTTTCACCAACAGTGGAACTACCAAGATTTTGATCTGTGCCTCGAGTGCATGACACTTTTTCGTTCTTCCTTTCTTCCTTCACTAGGTTACAAGCAATGTTAGAATCCAATGATGATATCTCGATTTCTACCTTGGAATGATTTTCTGATTTGATATCCTCAGAAACATTGTTACACAACTTCTCCGAAACATGGGACTTAAAGTTGTCTACTTCTGAGGAAAGATTTGAAGATATAAAGGGATCTCCTCCATCAAGCCTCTCAATTACGAAGGTTTTGGATTGTTCATTAGAGAATCGATCCTCTATCTGATGCTCTGAGGGCCCTCCATTCTCTGTCAGCTTTTTGTCAAGAGAAGAGACAGAAACTACATCCCTTTTCAAACCAGAATTCTCTTTGACTAAAGTCGGGTCATTCCTTGAATCACTGCCATTCTGAAAGTTTTTAGCATCCCCATTATATGGAGGCGTTGAATTTAGCTTCATAGTGTTACATGATATGCCGTAGGCCAAAACTGCATTATTTACACTAGTATCTGAATCAATAAAAGATGACTCATTGGCACGATTACACAGATTAGATTCAATATTTTCCTTCTTCTCCAATTTTTTTTCACGTTTTGAGCACAAATCACCTCGTAGGATGTCTGTAGCATATTGGCAATTAAAATAAGTTAGTGCGAAATAAACCTGGATAAATAGTAAATAACATAGCGGGAACAGGAGTTACAATTATCGCCATCCGGCAAAAAGGGCAGCAATCTTTTGTAGGCAATGGAACCAGGTGCCTTGAATAACTTCCGTTTAGAACATGGTTTGAGAACCTAATTCATCATTTTAAGATCCATATTAGATCAACATAAACAAGAGAATACCTATAAGTGTGCGAAGTGGCCATGAGTATTAGCAGTTCTAATTTCTTCAAGCATTCACTAATGACAATAATCCCATGAGGTCTATTGATTGACCCAACAGAACAGCATTCGTAAGAAATCAATGCAAAATAATAATAGCAATAATAGTAAAATAAAACCAATGGAGGGAGAATTCAACTTAAACAAGATACTTACCGATCCGGTTCTCGTAACAGCGTCAATTCTACAGTCAGCTTTCGCACAAGTATCCCCTAAAACGCTCCCATTGCTTGAGCGAGGACATCCATTTGAAGAAGCCGCCACAAGACCCCCAGCCATAACCTCCGCATCAGGAGGTGTAGAATGCACCCGTTCCACAATCTTCCCGCTACATCTCCGATCCTCATCGCCCAATTCAACATACCCACTAGAATTGCAAAAATTCTCATTCCGTACCTCTGCAGTTATGGAGCTTTTACCGACTCCACTATCTCCATTTGGACAAGTTCCATTGGGGGTGATCCGCGCTTCTCTGTCGCTAATCTGCCCTTCCGATGGCAGCGAAGAGCGATTATCAAAATTGGGAGAAAAAACTCGCTTGATACGAAGATCCTTCGCAGCATAATACGGAATGTTATCCCCAACTTTGGATGCAAGTTCATCCGAGGGCGGCAGGCTCTTAGGTTTTTTGCGGGGTAAGTGGAGGAAGCCAGCTTGTAGAGGTTGAGGTTGATGAACAATGGAGGAGCGTTTGGAAGCCATAGCACCACGCTTTGATTCCACGGGAAAACCTCGTATCTATGGCGATGATAGTCAATTGGAGAGGGAAGGAGGGAAAGAGTGAGAGCGGGAAGAAGAGGAGATGGCGGGAAGCCTAGGGGAAACCGCTTAGAATTGTGTTAATGGCGGGAAATTTAAATGGGCCGGCCCATGAGGAAACCCAAGCCCAATTTCAGCACTGTAATGCAAAATTTTCACATGGTAGCATTTATCTAATAGGTTAATACAAAATTTAATTAAAATAATGTTAATCAATAATAAATTAAAATTTATCTGATATATTGTCCACGACACTATCATATCATATCACAACATGACTTATTATTGTAGGGTTAGGCAATAACTTTCTAGAGCTTCGTCTCATATTATTGTAGGGTTAGGCAATAACTTTCTAGAGCTTAGATAAAGTCCACGATGACTTATTAGGGACAATGACTATTTATATATGATTTTTTTTATTTGTCTTTAAAACGTGCAAAATTTTATCTTTTTTTTTATTTTTATTTTATTTACTTCCACCTTGGTAAAGATATTTAGTAATAAATTATAGTTTACCATATATATTATATTTGATATTTTATTATAAGCAAGCATTCACTCTTTGTCTTTTAAGTGATTGGAGATTCGAAATCACCGGTCACCACAAATCAAAGTTTAAAGTTTTGGTGACGATTGTGGAAAAAAAAAAAAAACAAAAGGTGTCCTCTCATTTGGAAAAGTCTGCGGTGATATTTCTAAAGTGACGTTGATAGGGCACATAATCGTAATCCGAATTCCTTTGTGCCACTGACAATGACAGTAACCAAACCAATCAACAAAATCATAATAAACCATTTAACAATGCCAAAATTTTGGTCCTTTATTTATTGTTTGTTTCAAACAAAAACTTAATCAATCACCCATTGCTTATTTTGTTCTATTTGATTGTCAAATTTGATGATCATTTAGTCTTTTGAGGATCCTTTTCGTGTAGTGGTGTATTGTTTTGTATTTACGTGAGAAGGGTAATCTTCGCCTTTTTTGATTGGCTATTCACCTCTTCCAATTTGTACATTACATGTTTAGGCAAATGCGACTAGTTATTTTACCTAGTTGGAATGTTACTGTTACTCTTAGAAATGCTCACACGGCAGAGACTGGGAAGCCTTCTTCGTCCCTATCCCCTTCACCTATTTCATTTCCCATCCTCTTAAAAATTTTCATTTATTTCGTGCCCATAACTTTTATTTATTTATTATTATTTTAAAAAATGATTATTTCAAAATTTTTCATTTTTCAATATAATCTTTATCAAAAATAATTTTAAAAAATCTATATAAATATATAATCAATTCTACCCACCTAATTTCTAAAAAATCAATACCACTTAGTCTTTTGTTTAAATATTATAATCATAGTCTCAAAATTAACTATATATTATTTTTTATTTTTTTTTTCATAGCCAAAAAAGACATCTCTAAAAAGAAAAAATGTTCCCTACTCCCTCTCTTATTTACCGTCTAAACAGGAACCCCTCTCCGTTTCAAGTAGATCCCTTCACGTAAAATAGACATCTCTAATTACTTGTTAGGATCGATATCAGTTGTTAGCTCTGATACCAATTGTTAGAATCACTCAATAATGTACACACTCGATCAAAATGGACAGAAAGAACGAGAGAGAAAAAACACATGTTGGCTAGAGAAAACACAAGGACCAGTGTTGGCTACAAGTTTTATTATTGATGAGTTGACGTATGTACAAATATAATAGAGAAAATAATCTTTACCAAATAAACAAGGGCACAGATACTTTTAAGATGTCTCTCAATCCCTACCACCACCATCAATCTCAGCAACAAAAGCCTGAAGATTCGAAGTTGACGACCCACCTTCCTCCACAGCTTGCCTACCCAATTCCTTCCACACCTTCACATTCCTCTCAATCTCTTCATTCTCCATCACCAAATCCAAACATCGCCTAATCTCTCCCCTCTCAACAACCCCTTCTGAATTACCCTTCACTCTCACTCCCGTCTTCCACAAATCTTCCACAAGCTTCGCATTCGTCATCTGATCTATCTGCTGCGGAAACCCAACCACCGCCACCCCAAGACTCAAGCTTTCAATAGTCGAATTCCACCCACAATGAGTAACAAAACAACCCACCGACGGATGCTTCAACACTTCAATTTGCCGACACCACGACACAATTTTCCCTTTCATTCCCACCTTCTTCAACCTCTCCTCATCGTGATTCGATCTCACAACCCACAAGAATGGCCGTCCACTCTCCAACAAACCATTCAAAAGCTCCTCCTCTTGCTCCTCACACAACTCACAAATAGACCCAAATGATACATACACAACCGAGCGCTCCGCCTTGGAGCTCAACCATCCGATATAATCCTCACTCGACACGTGGAAAAGATTGCCACCATCATCATGACTAGAAGGAATCAAGGGTCCGATTGCAATCATTTTCAATTCATCAATGGCTCGCAAGGCATCAGTTTCCAACGTGTCAAATGTGTTGACTAAGACTTTTGACCGAGTTTGTCCACCGAGGAATTCGAGTTGCTCTCTCATTGGAGGAATAATAAACGCATGGGGCCCACATGGGGAGAAGAAAGATGGCATATCATGAGTTGTAAACAATGGCAAGTTTGGTAATTCTATGCACGAAGATGGGGTTTGGAGTTTGTTGCAAATGGGTTCTTCATAGCCATGGAAGTAATGGAAGTACAAAGCTAAGACGGTTGCAGGCTGAGCGAAGAAAAGGGCTGAGGGTATATTGAAGGAAGTGGCGACGTCGGCTGCCCAATTGAGTAAGAGGCCGTAGATTAGGAAAGTGAAGGGGCGGCCTTTGTTGGCTGCGGAGGTGATGAGGTGGGTGAGAGATTGAGAGCCGCAGCGTTTGAGTTCAGAGAAGAAGTGGGTGATGTTGGCGCTGAGTTTGAGATTGTCGTCGTCGAAGCCGTCGGAGAACGTGGCGAAAGACAAGCCCTGTGTTGTTGGAGTTTGTTGGGCGTTGTTGTTCATGCGGCGGGCGGCGGCGATGGTGGTGGCGAAGGTGACATCAATGTTAAGGTGTATGAGTCGCTTGGCGAGTTGGAGGGAAGGGTTTATGTATCCTTGGGAAGGGAAGCATACTAGAAGGAAGTGGGGGTTTCTCATCTTAAACCACTATGGTTAATTGGGTTGTTCTTGTTTTTTGGGAAAGATTTATTTATAGGAATCAAATATGAAGGGAGGGAGGTTCATGGAATTTTCATACAAAAATGAGGTTGTCAATTCATTATTGGAAAAGGTGGAAGCTAGATCTTTTGACTTATCTTCATAATCCGAAAGTGTCTACTTCCATTAATTTGGAATACTTCCAAATCATTTTTATGATTAATTTGAAATACCTAATCCAAATCATTTTTATATTTAGATTTAGGGTGAGTTAAATTTTTTGGAAAATTGAAATTTTTTTTATCAACTTGTGAGTTAGATATTTTTTTGGTTGGGTCATGTAACCCGTAAGTTTAAGAGGTAATAATGATCCTTGATTTTCTTCCTAAGATGTGAAATATATACTTATAATAAGATCATAGGATTTTATTGTAGGCGGAGAAGACCGGGACTCAAGTCGATGAAGAAGTTAAATCATGTTCCGGATGGTTGTAAGATTAAAAGAATAGTCAAAGTCAAACTAAGGGCAAAACGGTCATTTTACCCTTCCTCCTACTTGAGCGGAATGGATAGATGGAACATAGCAAGAAAGAGAAAGGAAGCAAAAAGGGGGAAAAGAAAAGAGAGAAGGAAGAAATTAGGGTTTAGGAAAGAAGAAGAGAAGAGAAGCTTGTCACCCCAAATCTGCCATTGAAAGTTGATCCAAGCCAAGAAAGCCTCAATAGAACTCCTCTCAGTGCTAGAAGAGAAGTTTGGGTGATGGATTCGCTCATTAAGGGAAGAAAACCAAAGATCAAACAAGGTACGGTCATGGCCTTTTGATTTGGTTTTAGGTAGATCCGACAAGTCTTTTTGAGTGAAAAACCTTGAACCCCTTCAGAGATCAAACACGCACGTGGGATTGCTCTTAGAACCCCTTCATAACGCGTGAGGAGTGTCACGGTCATGCTCGTCCAGGGCATGTTGCCCATGGCCGCATGCCCATGACAAGCCAAACCCTTGTCATGTCTTTCATTCTAGTGTTTTTCCTTTTGTAATTCTAGGGCGTATGACGCCTCAAAAATATCATGTCTAGGTCTGCCAGACTTAAAATGACTCAGAATGTACCATAGGGGGATATTACTAATTGTCAACTTCTTCCTACCCAAGGTTATATATGCTAAGCCGTTGTTATCTTTCTCTTGCTTGCTTATATAATGTCTCTTTCCAAAATCTCTCTTTCTAAAATCTATCTCTCTCTCGTTTTCTAAAATCTTCTTTTAAAACCGAGACTAGAGGCTTGATTGTACGTCGCTTGGCTGTAGGCGACGCAAGAACAAATTGGCTTAAGCTCACTTGTCGCTGGAAAGTGAGTGCCGCACAATCGCTAGTCCGCTGCCTTCGAAAGCGCGATTGTGTCAAGTGGTATCAGAGCTTTGTTAGCTCCGTAACATCATAAATACCGAGATCATGTCGACGTCAAAGTCGACACCCAAAGCACAAGCCGACTGGCTTACTCTAATAGAGGAGGAAATGCTGTTCCTCAAAGAAGTCCCTGACACACTCCGGTTCCTGGAAAAGCGGGTGACCGAACTGAGTGAGAAAGTCGTAGAAGTCGACGCAATGGGCAACCGCCTGGATGGGTTGCCAATCGCAGAACTGATGTTTCGAGTGACCTCGCTCGAAGAAAGAGTTGCTCCTACGAGCAGCCCAAAACCGTTTGGTAGTCCGGATAGCTCTGTCGCGCACAAAGAGGGACGTGGCGAAGAGTTCGACGTACTACAAAATACAATGATGAGTTTGTTCAATGGATTAGCTGATGAATTCAGAACAACAATCGACGACCTCCAAGAAAGGATGGCCGCCATGAGCACTCGAATTGAAGTGACCATGAAAGCTGTGGAGGGCGTCACGGCTGGGCAAACTAATGCAGGATCCAACA